AATTTAAATATTTATATATTAAATTTTTTTTATCTTAATAATTAAATTATTAAAATTTAATATAAAATATAAATTATTAAATAGAATAAGTTAATATAAACTTATATATATTAACACTTTTGAATTTATTTGATGGTGATGTTAAGTATAACAAATTTTTTATTCAAGGTTAAAAGAAAAAGTTGGGAAAGTAGGGGTGGAAAGGAATGGAAATGGAGGGAAAAAGGTTTTTCGTGGCAGTTCACGTGGGCGCCGGTTTCCACTCTCCGTCCAACGAAAAAGCCCTCAGGTCCGCCATGAACCGTGCCTGCCTCGCCGCCGCTTCCATCCTCTCCGACGTAACGTAACCCAACCTTCCTCTTTCTCTTCTTAATTTCTCTCTTTCTCCACTCACTGCTCACTCCTTTCGCGTTTCTAGGGTTCGGGAACGCGCTTAGACGCCGTCGTAGCCGCCATTCGAGTGTTGGAGGACGATCCGAGCACCAACGCCGGCAGAGGCTCCAATTTGACTGAAGACGGCGGCGTGGAGTGCGATGCCAGTGTTATGGACGGGAAGTCCGGAGCGTTTGGGGCCGTTGGAGCAGTTCCAGGTACTTGCTTTCATATTACAATTGCAATCGTTGATTGCGTCATGGAATATGGATACATACATTAATCGAAATCGAACTCTGTTCTTTGGATAAATGAGAATGGCCTCAGTTGTGTATTTCGTAAGCTTGAGTGGTTAATAGTCAATGGCACTCCTTTAATGAGCTTATGAGTGAATAAGAAGTTATGACATGAAGCTCAGCTTGTGGACTTAAGAATTTGATGAGATAAACTTCTTCAAAAACACTTTTAGGATAAAAAATATGTGTTTTGAGTTGTGTAGAAGCTAATTTTAGTTTCTAGAAAAACTTATTTCATTTTTTCTTATTTTTCTCTCCTAAAAGTAATTTTTGAGAAGTTTATTTAGACGTGTGCTAGGAGTGTTTGGATAAACAACTTAATTAAGCATGTATTGAATAAGTGTTTGACTATTTTGGATAAAAGTTGGGAACATGCTTCGGGGGATTTCAATGCACATTCTTGAATTCCAAGGAGAATAAAAGTACCTTTGAGCTCCCGCAATTGGCATCCAAACATGCACTTTATCTTGTAAAAGTTGTTTTTATAATCAAATAGGAATAGAGTTAAACTGTTTTGATGTAAGCTGTAAGGTGTTTTCATAAGCTATCTTAAAGACTTTATTGAAATAAGCTGCAAAAAGCTCATGGGCATATCATAGGCTGTTTTCATGAGCTTTTTCAAACACTTAAACAAATGCTTGTATCATAAGATAAGCCCAAATAAGTTGTAATTAAGTTCTTCCAAATGTAACCTTAAGTCCTTAAGTGCTAGAGGTGTTCATGGATCGGTTTTTTCAAAAAACCGATCCAAACCGAACTGTTTTATAAAAGTGGATCGGATAACCGATCCATTTTTTATAAAGTGGATCGGTTTGGTTTTTTTAAAATATGGATTGGTTTTTTTTAAAGGGGATCGGTTCGGTGCGGTGCAGTTATCCACTTTTTACTCGTATATGGATCGGTTTTTTTAAAAAATCAAATCGAACCAAACTGATCCACTTTGTAAAAATGGATCGAATAAATGAACAGTTTTATAAAGTGGTTTGGTTCGGTTTTTTTTCAAAATGGATCGGATTTTTCAATACGGATCGGATCGGTTATGGATTGGTTCGGATTAATTTGGATTTTTTGCACACCCCTATTAAGTGCTTATTTAGTTTAGTTGGCGGAGAGTGAAAATGTATATTTTCTATGACAATGTGTTTGGTTCAGTTTATTTTGGAGAAGTAATTTTTTGAGAGATGTCAGGGAGTGACACTTGCTAATGCATTATTTCTAACACACTCTTTAATATTGAAAAAAAATAATGTAGGTCCCACTAAATATTGTGCAAATCATTCCCTCAATAATCAAAAGTGTGTTGGAAAATGATGTATTAGAGAGGGTGTTGTTGACATTTATTTCGTTTCTTTTACAACTCCTAGGAGATCTTTTGCAAAGTAATCATAGTAAAAATTGTTTCTCATAAACTAATCCCAGCCTAGCATGCATCAGCATGAATCTACAGTGTGCAAAATAATGCATTTTCACTTCCCCCACCGACATGAACAACTGAGCAGATCCTAAATATTTACATTGCTATGCTGGTGATCTAATGCTTTATGGATGGAATGTTGTTTTAGCTTTACTTGTTGCTTGCACAAGACACGGGAATTTTGCTGTTGTATGTCAAGTTTTCTGTGTATTTATTCCATTCACTATAGACCAGGTGTTCGAAATGCTATACAAATTGCTGCATTTTTGGCCAAAGAGCAAGTGATGGGATCTCCACTGTTGGGTCGAATTCCTCCAATGTAATCACTACTCAACATTTCTGCATTTCTAATCAAAGCATTTACATAACTGCTCGAGATTCGCTGCCATAATTAATATTTGAGAAAGCCTTCCCCTTTTCACCTCAAACAAATCCACCTGGTAATATCTATTGTCAGACTTATGGGAATTTGTCTTATTGCAGCTTCTTGGTGGGTGAAGGGGCTCGCAAATGGGCCAAGTCTAAGGACATTGCTTTGCCACCAAGCATAGAGGAGGCCAATGAGGTCATATTTTCACTTATGATTTAAATTCTGCACTTGTAGTCAAACTTATTATCAAATCTTGTCATACTACTTTAAAATCATAACTTCGTCACTTTGTATAACAGTGGCTGGTCACTGAAAGGGCAAAAGCACAATGGATAAAATATAAATCCATGGTTGAAACTGCTAGATCTAAGATAGAGAACACACCTGAGGGCAATTCTTCGGTCTGTCAAAGTACCACAATTCCAGGTATTTTAATAGCAAACTTCCACAAGACCTTACCCTACTTTCTGCTTCCATAACAATAAAGTCAATAAACAGAAGTGCTCCAAATAACCTGGACAGATCCATTGCTCATGAAAATTAGCATAAGCGATTAGCCTACTACCCTAAAAGCAGTCTTACTGAGAAAGAAGATGGTGTTAGTTGTCAAAACTCTTGAAATCGCATGACTTATTGTTAGGATATAAAGCTAAGCATCTGCAGCAATTTTAGATCAGTTTTCTACACCTAAACTAAAACCTCCACCTGAGAGGACATCTTAAATTTGCTTAGGCATTTAACTGGCTGGGTTACAGATCAAGTATTGGACAAGATATTTCAATGCAAAATATTGGAGCTCGGAAAAAATGATCTCATTCAGGATCTTTTCTCCAAGCCTTCAATTATTACAAGTGTGATGCTGATAGGTCCATTATGCATGTCTATAGAAGCATGGGTAGAAGAATGTGAGAGGAAGGAATGGGCACAATGAATCGGGCCTGCAACATTTGAAAGAAGGTAGAGGCATGTGGCAAATGTTGGAGTAAGGGAGAGGAGAAATAACAGAATAGGACATGTGGAGGAAAGGGAATGGAGGGGAGTGTCGGGAATCTATGTGAATCATGAGAACGGATATTGAGGGGAAAGTAGGCCGTAGGAGGTAGTTTTGGGGGGCATTTTGAGGTCCAGGCTGGTATGGAGAGTAAGTGGTTGGTCCTTCTCTCTGGGTATCTTTCTGTGTTCATATCATCTAGTAAGGAGCATTGCTCCATTTCATATGCTATTTTCATTGCTGTTCCTTTTATTTAGAACCATTGTAAGAGGATATATCCTCTTTTTCTGTTCAATCCAGAATATAGATTTTTCTCTTGTTTTGTGAGTTCATTACTATCAGATACTCCTTATGAACTTTATTATGCCAAAGCCATGCCCCCTTGTGCTCTTGCATATGCAGATTGTGCTTTGGAAGATCGTGTAATGGACACTGTTGGGGTTATTTGTATAGACAATGAGGGGCATGTAGCATCTGGAGCCTCCAGTGGTGGTATTGCTCTAAAGGTGAAGAATTATTTTCTTCGTTTTCTTTTCTTCTGGTGCTCCACACTTCCATATTAAAGTGGTAAGTTATTACTCATAATTATATATTCAAAATATCCAACAGGTCAGTGGACGCATTGGGTTGGCGGCAATGTATGGTTCAGGTTGTTGGGCATCATCTAAAGGTCCCTTTGGGGCTCCATTCATGGCTGGTTGTTGTGTATCTGGGGCAGGAGAGCACCTAATGAAAGGATTTGCAGCTAGAGAGTGTTGTGTTTCATTGTCACTGTATGATTGTCTCAGATATCTATTTGTTTTTCATGATAGGGAGAGAGTTTTTATACAGGACTTGTCCGTGTGCTTAAGTTGTTGTGTCTTCATTGATATCATGGAATGGAATATAATCGTATAATTATAATTATTATTATTATTATATATCACATTTGAGACCTTTTCTTTTACGATTCAAATGAGCTGGTGTTTCTGAATTAGATTTCAGCTCAGAAATAAGGGGTGTATATTCAAAATCTCAATGTCTATGCCTGTTATTCTGTTTGAAGCCGAGGACATGCGATAAAAGGATGATTTTCATTGAAATTTAATTGGACACATTTTATGCTATAATATGGGTCACTGGATATTGTGTTGGACACATGTTAAATATCATATTGTTAAACTTTTCACTTAAAAATTTTAATGAAAGAAAAATCCATTTTTTTTTTATCTTAAATTTACTTGTGCAGAAATGGTAGGCTAGGATTTATCCAAGTTCCACCGTTGTTTTTCTCGGGTGAATATGGAAAATATGATCTCTTGAGCATCCAGCATAGTTTCTGTTATTGGCTTCAGAAATTGCAACTTTTGAATTTTACGCATTGTTGTATAATTTATTGTGTGCTATAGCAATACTCCATGCAGTGGATTTTTCTGATATTGAGTTTCCTTCAGCTCACAGTCTGGTGCTGCCTCTGCTTGCACAAAAATTTTACGGTCTGTTGTTGAGGATGGCAAGCAATGTGGTACTGATAGCAGTGCAGGGATCTTGGTTGTGCAGTCAGATGCATCTTTACCAGTGAGTCCCTTCATCTTTTCCTGTTAATAGTTTTGTGAAGATTATTTAATCTGTCATTTTCCTTAGGATCAAGGAAAATCTTCAAGGCTGAAGGCTGTAGAGATTGCTGCTGCATACACTTCCTTGTCTTTTGGAGTAGGATATTTTGGAAGCTCTATGGAACGGCCCAAGGTAGCATAGTTATGACTTTGTGATTTACCATCATATAAAGATTTCATAATATTATGTTTTCTAAATTTGAGCTTAAGATATTAATAAAAATGATTATGAAATCATCACATGACGATTCAAATATCTTACGTAAAGTAATGTTTTTCCATTGTCCAGGTTTCAATTCTTAGGAGTACAAAACAAAGCAGAACGTCAATAGATCAATTTGGAGCACGAATAGATTTTTCAAATGGATAGCGATCAGATATAATCAGTGTTGAAGACATGAAATTCATGATTCAGATTACTTGATTTTCCCTTGAATTTTTAGTTTCCATTACTGGGCAGTACATTGGTGGATTGAAAATATGTAATTTCGCCGATGCAAAGCGAGACTGCTGTGGAAGTTTTTAATTTTTATACATATTTTTAAAAAATAATTTTTGATTTAATTATTCAGTGATAAATTTTATTATACTATTTAATTTAATTTATTAGTAAGATTATATGGTTTTAAAATATGTATACACAAATTTTATTATATAGATCGTGTGAGAAGTTTTATTACTCATTTACTATATTATAAGCAAAACTATTTTACATTTGCTTTAATTTCAAACAAGAAATACATTGAATTGAGTATAGAAATTGAATTGGATTAAATAAGTTTACTCTCTCAACATTTTAAGAATTTAAATTTTAGTCTTAAATTTTATTTTTTTTGTCAATTTTTACTCTTCTATTAATTTTGTCACATAAATTGGTCCTTGAGGTAAGTTTCATTTATTAAGTAATGATTTCTACTAATAATTTATAACTAATTTTGACAATTAATATTCATATTAACTGTTTAATAGATGTCAAATCATGACATATAATTTTATTAATTTATTGAAGGATTATTTTAATAATATCTTTTATTTTTGAAAAAGAATATTTGACCATAAATAAGTAAAAAAAATGTGTCATATGATTTGATATTTACTAAATGAATATTAATAATTAAATTAATTATGATTTATTAGCATCCATCTTCACTTAAGAAATGATATTTAATTCTAAGGACTAATTTATGAGATAAAAAATTATTGGATGACTAAAAATTAACAAAAAATTTAAAAACAGTAAAATTAAATTCTTGAAAAGTTAAGGGATTAAAAATGTATTTAACCCAATTAAATTTTATTAAAATAGCATGATTCGGTTAAAAAAAACTTTTTGATGAAAATAATAATAATAATAATAATGAATTTATACATTCAGTTAAAGATTAATTTTTTTTAGTTTCGATTGTTTTTGCATACATCAGATGAATTTGTTTGTTTTTTTTTATTCACAACTAATTAGGAAAAAAAATTAATATAAAATCACTTTTAAATTTTCTCCTCAATCCCAATATTTAAGAATTAAGGTGAATGAATTAAAAAAAATTGTATTTATCTTAAAACAAAGTTAAATTTTAGTGAACATTAATTTGATATTCCTTCCGTTTTTTTATTGTCTTTAAGGTTATGCACAAGAATTGAGACAATGATTGATATTTTAGTTTTTCAAAGTATTTATTACATATTTTCCTGTTATATCTTTTAGGTAGTTGGAGAAGAAATAGGTACATTAGAAAATAAATAAACACATTGTTCAGTAAACATGCATTAATTATCAAGGATAAATATAAAAAAAAATTAATAAGTCAATGATTTTAGAAAAGTGACAATGAAAAAAATAACAAAATCTGACAAAATGACTATGAAATAAAAATGGAGGGAGTATAAGTGATTTTATTTTTTTTATAAAAAATGAAGGTAATATCTTATTAAAAGTGTTAAACTATGTTGAAAAATTAATTCTTTTTTTAATGAATGTAATATTTTAAAATATTATTAATAATACTGTAATCGTTGCTATTGTTAAAAAAAGTATTTTAAAATTAAATTTTTAAATTTGATATGAACTATATTTAAGGTAGTGATAGAATGAATGATCATAGATCACGTAAATATCACTTAACTATTTTCAAAAAAATTAGAAAATTAAAATATAAATTTATAAATTATATATTAGAATGAGTTAAAATATAAAGTTTTTTTTTTTTTTTAAGTTTCTGAATCTTTAAACATAATCCTCCGGATCTATTTTATTTACAATCATCAAAGGTTGTTACTATAAACTATAAACAATTTTATGCTTGTATTTTTTTAATGTTGTATTCTTTAAATAAAGAGATTTAGTTAGAGCTGTCAAAGTGAGCCGGGACCCGTGGGCTAACCCGGCCCACCTTGAAAACGGGCCGGGCCGGGCCAAAAAAATTGAAGTTTTATAATAGGTGGGTATATTTCAACCCGGCCCACTTTGACCCGGCCCACTCGGGCTAAACCCGTGGTGGGCCGGGTGGCCCACCAACCCACCATTTTTTTTTTCAATAAAAATTTGAATATGATTTGTAGTTTATTTTGTATGATGATATATTGAAAATTTTTATTTTAAACTTTTATCATGATTTGTATTTAATTTTGTATGATGAATTATGACTTATAACTATTAATGATGTTAATTTTATGACTATTATGTTAATTTATAATTAATTTAAAATTTTGAATTTTGTTAATAATTTTTTTTTAATTTTTGGTGGGCTGGTGGGTTGGCCCGTATAACCCACCAACCCGTGGTGGGCCGGGCCGGGCCAAATTTTTTTTGAAAAAATTACAAGTGGGCCGAGTTGGGTTGGCTCGTTTTTAAAGTGGGTCAAGGTGAGCCGGCCCACATGGGCCGGGTTGGCCCGTTTTGACAGCTCTAGATTTAGTGGTAGAATTTATATCGAAAGAGTCACAGCGACATGTTTTGACCATTTTGATCGTTGAGACAGCCAAATAGCGACAATCATTAGTTAAGACAAGAGACATTCACCACACACTTATATTGGTCTCGACATTCCCAACTAGGATGGCAACGGGGTGGGGCGGGTACGAGTTTAATTATTAGTTAAGTACATACTCATACCCGTACCCGTACTCGATTTAATATATCAAGTTTTATCCGTACCCGTACCTGTAGCCGGTCAAACCAGATATTCTTCGTCAAAGTCGGGACAGGTTCGGGTATTACCCGTGGATACGGGTATATTTGCCATCCCTATTACCACATACGCCATGGTCTTGGTAGGCAAATGAAGTGGCCTAATGGTTTAAGATGAGTGACTGCTGATGCTTCTGACGTATAAGAACCCCGTTGAAAATGTTCTAAAATAACTGAGATGGCCAACACAATTTTATGATTGGAACTCATAAAATTAGTTATGTGTCTAAAAAGGGAAATAAACGAGATTAAAAGATTATATTGTCATTAGTAGTTGTATTACTTAATTTAATCAGGAATAAAAGTTCAACAGATTCAAATATACTATTATCAATTTAAATAGTTACATAAATCAAGATAAAATTATTATTTATTTATTACATATCTAAATACTTATGTAACTTAGTATGAGAATACCTTTTATCAATTAGGAATTTTACAATAGTACCCTCAAATAGGTACACAATTTAATTAGTGTCCGATTTTCATATTTAATTAATTTAGCTGATTATAACATATACTCTGTACTATGTTCCTCTTAATTAAGGTACATGAAAAGGACATTCAATTGAAATAATACAGAGATGATATTAAAAGAATAGAGGAGGAGTGTTTTTTTTTTCTTTTTCTTTTATATGTGAGAAGAAAGATTAAATATATTTTTAATTCTTTAACTTTTATTAATCTTTTCTAATTTTTAAACAATTTTTTTTTACCAATTTTAATTTCTTAACTTTTATTAATTTTGATTTTTAGTCTTTAAACCTTTTCTCATTAACATTTTAGTTCTTAATTCTTAAATTTTTTGTTCACAGAAAAAAATTTCAAGGATTAAAATCCAAAAATTTGTTTAGAAATTAAAAGGAAAAACTGATAAAAAAAAACTAGAAACTAATTAAAACACATTTAATCCTTTTAATAATTACAATGAAACTCACTAAAAAGTTATTTTAAAAATAAAATACTTACCATTCAATTTAATTCTTATTTTTTTTATTAAAAAACACTTAATATCTTTAATTAAAAAACACAAATGTCATAATGAGTGCTGGATGCCGAGTTGAATCTTTAATGCTGGTATAATTCTACTCATTATAAGCTCATGGAAGAGGAAAAAAGTATTATCAAACATAATAATGATCACTTATTTTAATGTATTTGTATTTGTTTGTAATATGTGCAACTTAAATAACTTTTATATTATATTATTAATTTAAATTATATATTCAATAATATAATATTTATATAGATATTACATATATTATTTTGTGATATTAATTATAAGTATATTATATATATATATTATTTATATTTTTAATTTTTATTAATATATAATTTAACATGTAATTTTTTAATGTATTTCTTTGTACAAAATAAAAATAAAAATAATTTTAAATAAGATGGAAA